TGGAACGGGACTGTACGTCTTGGCTCAGAGCTACGCTCCCATACGCCACCAGGACAGAGCCAGGAGAGCAACTCGCTGGATGTCCACGTCGGATTGGATGTAAAATTCAACACTTTCAGAAATGAAACAGCTTTTTTTTTTTCTTCTTAAACACGGATTGTTGAAAAATAATGATTAGCAGTGCACAGCTGTACTGGCTAAAATATTTTTCTTGGTCAAATAATAACCTTGAGTCTCATTGCTCAGTGAAAACAACGACTACTACAATGTCAACTTTCCGGAAACCCACAAAATTACTTATCTAGTGGGATTTTACAAAAAAAAAAGTTTTGTGATCTTAAGATGTAGGAAAAATGGTTTACAGCCCATCTTTTCCCGACTTGAAACTTGAACAATCTGCAACGTAGAGCCTTAGAATGGCCACAACAGGCTGCTAAACTCCCCAAAGGAAAGTACTCTCTCTGCATGATCCCAACATTACTGGCCGCAAATTGGGACGATAGTCAGAGAACAGTCCTAATATTACAACTGAATACAGACACAGCTTCCATTACCATTACAAAAAGGAACAGCAACCCTTACAACCCATATTCTCATCTGAATCCCCATAGAATAATGCACTGGCTTCTAGCTTGTGCCTACACATGGCAACTGTTACGCAGGCCTGCACTACTCTCTAATCTAGACATAATCCACAGCAGACATCATTCTCACCTGTGCAATGAAGACCACGTGCTTTCCGCTGAACTTCTTTTCCAGCTCCCTCACCAGACGCACCTGAATCTTCTGGAAGGACTTCAGTTGAGGAACAGGAACAAAGATGATGATGGCTTTCCTGTTGCCACCAACTTCGATTTCCTGAAATAAAGCAAGCACAATGAATATGTTGGGAAGGACAACCTCTGCATACTGCCTCTACAGCTCTCCAGGAAACCAGGCAATCTTCATTAAATTTATAGAGTTCTAAATGTGTAGCTGATAAACAACAACTATTAGGTCTGGCTCACAGCAGGAAATATTACAATAATACAAGTACTGCAACATAAAACACCAGTATAGGTCAATAAATGTGCACTGCATGGTTTAGCTCCCCAGTAACGGCCCCAAAGGACTCTGGGAAGATGTAGGAATATGCAGGACGCTCGTCCTCACCAGCCAGAA